CTTTACTTAATCGACAAAATGAATCAAAACATTGGCGTATTTAATATGTAGCCAAACATCTCGTCCATTTTTTAATCACAACGTTTTTTGATTATACCTTCTACATAATTCTTGAGGTGCTCTCTTACTTTGAACAGTAGTAGCTGATGCAGAATACCAATACTGAAAACTTTCGGGAGTATCCTTGTAAATTCCTGATGTTGAAAATCTTTCCACATAATAAATCAATTTGCCAACTTTTAACTGACAGAGCCTCCATACTAGAAACCTGCGAGACAGCAGTGTGTGAGTGCGTGTTATTAAAGAGCGCAGAAACGGTGGTGACCGGTGGGTTGGTTCTTCTTTGTTATTCAGGTGGTTGATCTGAAGCCATGGCTACAAAATTGTGGGCATCAAAGGCCGCTTCCTACCTTAGGATCTCAGTATTCCACAGAGGCTTTGCCACTGGTAATGTGTTTGGTGTATTTGTAATATGTCTTTCATTTCTTTCTGATATTTTTCGTGTTACGATTCTTGTTTATGGGTTGGTTATGTGAAAAGTTGCTTGATCTGTGATTCTTTTGAAGAAAGATATGATTTTTGGACGTGGGTTGTAGCCATTTTTGTGTGCTGAAAAACCATAGGAGATTTTTGGTGGCTTGAGTTCCATTTCTGATTTTGGACATGGTTTCTGGAATTTTTGCGAGTTTGGATCAGTAAAAGATTCTTGGGATACATGAGTTTTCATATCCTGTGGGTTTTTTAGTTCATCATCTTTGCATTAGAACTGGAAAAATGCATAGTTTATGATGTATCAAACTGTAGATTACATGTATTTAAATGCTAAGCTCTTGAAATCTTTAGCATTTTCGTCAGTTTTATTTGTAGTTTTTCTGATCACTTACTTGATCTATGTAGTATATTATGTTTTATATGTTCAAAATTTATCTGGGAAAGTATTAGGAATTTCTGAAGTTAGCCAAAAAAGTGTGCAGGTAAAATATTAGAAGAAGAGCCAAAACAGAGGTATAAGATGGACCAAAAATACTCTGTCTTTTCTTTTCTGTCATGGAAAACAAATATTCCAGTAACATGCATTCTTTTTCTGAGACCTTACGAGGATGATTGTGAGAGCTATTCAGTGAAATTGGCATTGTCAGAGCATTTGCAATTGTGAAGAAAATCATAGGATGAGTGTCATCATTTTCTTTTACATCAGGCATGTTAGATGTAATTTTTTTCCTTATTGATAGTAATCAACTCAAATTAGCTTATTTTTAATTCAGAGCTACAGAGTTTGATGTCCTAGTTGCTTTTTCTACATATGCTGTCTCTATAGTTGAATTGTGAAACATTTTTTCACTTTGTCTAATTTACGTGGACACTGGTTTAGTCTTAGAAAATGAACTCTGGCATTGTTCTCCTTCCTCCCTACTGCTTGGTCAAAAGTTACTTTTGGTGGATTAGCATATAATTAAAGCACAGTATTTGATCCTGATGTTTTCCCTGTATGAAATTTTGTTGCAGTTGTCAAGGATCTAAAATATGCAGACTCTCATGAATGGGTGAAAGTTGATGGTAACTCTGCTACTGTGGGCATTACCGACCATGCTCAGGATCATCTGGGTGATGTTGTCTATGTGGAATTACCTGAAGTTGGGAAAGAGGTGAAGCAGGGGGATAGTTTTGGTGCTGTTGAGAGTGTTAAAGCCACTAGTGATGTTTACTCTCCTGTTTCCGGGAAAGTGGTCGATGTTAATGAAAAGCTTGGTGATTCTCCTGGCTTGGTAAGTTCTCAACAGTTATCCCCCTGAGAATGTTTTTATGCATACCTTAAGCATTAACTGCAATGTTGGGTAAAAAAAAATCTTTACTGGCTTGTCCCTCCTGCTGTTAGTGATGATTTAACTTAGGCTGAAACACACCACACAAACAAAAATAGAAAGAAAGAGCCAAAATTTTTCTTGCTTGTGCTCTAAATTATGTACCAAATATTTTTGTCAGATTAATCCTTTCTGATGAAATCCGCATTTAACTCCCTGCATGCTGAATCATCTTTTTTGCACTCATGATCACAGCCCTTTATCCAAGACAATTATACTCCTACTGATCAAAGGTGGATATAGATTTTTACACTTTATCAATACTACACCAAGGGTATTTAAAGGAAGTAAACAAAAAGATGAGTATAAATGTACTAGTCTATTCCCCTCAAAAGACCAAGCATGTGCAACCAGAATACTTGCAGAAATTTATTATATTAACCATACCATAGTTAGCATAGAGGACTCTGGTTCTCCCTGCATATGTTGTGAAACCTTATGTAGTCATTTTTGTTCAAGCATTCTCAAAACAAGCATTATGAATGAGAACACAAATGGTACAGCAGGAAAGTGCTTCAAACGTGTTTTGTCAGAACTGATTGTGGAGATTTTTGGTTGATATAAGAAAGGGTGCTAACCAGACGAGGTTCTGTCTTTACAAACACTGTGCTCTATTATCTCTTTGGTTTCTTCCTTCTCTCTCTAGACTAGATTTTACCAAAATTGTGTCTGGCAAGTACTGTTGATACTGCTAATACACACTATCAATTACTTATTATGATGTTGTACATCTATAATTGCTGCTTTTGTGTTTCCAATTATGAGGTTAGATTGAATTCCCCCTGGCAGGCCAATGGCTTAGTGGTAACTTCCTGTACTCCGTCCATTTTTGTTTTGCAAATAATAGGGTAAACAAGGCTGGTTGGCAATGAGAGATAATAGCAAGAAACATATTGGTTGTCAAATGAGAAAAATAGTTGGGTTGCTAGTTTATTTGTTTTCATTCCACCTTAAGATACATATATTCTTCTTATGCACCCTATTTAATCTTCTAAATTACCCTTTTCTGTTGTAAGTTATTTGTGCACATTCGCCTTTCTGTTTAGGAATTAGATAGTTCATGAGCAAAGCATACTGTTCCCTGTTGTAATCTGCCACAATAGCTTCTTCCCTATCTACTAAACTCTTCATGGTTGGTCTAATTTGTCGGCATATGAAGCTTTGCTTTTACACCCGCATATTGTGCATTCTGTCAATAATGTCAATAATTTGGAAATATGTTCAACTCTCGCCCCTGCCTCACTCTTGTTTAATGTTTTCACTCTCTTGAATTGCAAGTTCATTATAACCAGAAAGAGCACAATGGCATAGTCTTTGGCTCTTAGAGTTGATTACTATCATCCTATTCTTAGTTTTCTAACTGTCAAGTATCCTATAAAATGTTTACATTAATTATTTGCTCATATATTTATGTTTGGTATTTTATACTGAATAAGTAGATGTCTAAATGCAGGTTAATGGAAGCCCATATGAAGATGGATGGATCATGAAGGTGGAGATAAGTAACAAGGATGAACTTAACTCTCTACTGGACTCGGAGCAATACACCAAGCATTGTGAAGCAGAAGATCAGAAGCATTAGTGGCTCAACATTTCAAAAATGATCCCCGGATCATTTGTTGCATTTGCTTTTGAAGTTCAATCTTTTTCTTTCCCATGTTAAAGCATTTCACACGCATTGAAAATTAGTCTAGGTTTAGAATTTAGTTCCATGAGTTTTGCATCCAGAAGCCACTCATCACGAATTTAATTTGCAGTTGGCTACTTCCTTGAGTTCTCAATTGCCTGAAGCTTCTATGTAGCACAATAGGATGTATTTACCTGAATGGGATGCTACATGTGATTGGAAATAATTATAGGAATTGGACAGCCTGTTCTGACAACCAAATCTCTTTTCACAATACTGAGCATCTGTCCTTTGATCTTCACTTTTAAACCCTTTTCCCTTTGATTTAGTACACGATTTGGAGCCAAGGGGCTGAACTGAATAGCTTGCTGGGGGAGAAAATGTCACTTCAATCTTTGGCAAATGGCAGGAAATGGTTGATTTGCACAAACTAGAAGACGAGTGGAGTGGAAAATGTAAAATTCTTATGCCTTGCAAGTTTTAAAATTGTTTCTAGAATCAAGAACTTTCTCCGCTGATTAATCAAGAACTTTCTCAGATGCTAGCTTAAGTGACTTGGTGTGTCTTTACCATTTTATGGACATTTTCCACCCTAATAATCTTTCTAGGATCATGTATCAACCTAGCTATAAAGATCTCACCAATTCACATTTTTGATAAATAATAACCAATTCACTTGAGCAAGTTCGTCACCAAAAGGAGCATTGAAGCCTTCCCAGAATTACAGCATAGCGGTTGAAACTTTTGCGCAATTTTGTTGAACAATCAACGAGGCACAGTAATAGTCATAGTCATAAAACTTGGCCCCGACTTAGTGGTCGAATCAGTCAATCCAGTGAACCAATCATAGAATCGAATTGGGTTGCTAATTAAGTCGATCATAGAAATGGATTGGATTACTAATCAAAGCAGTTAAGCAATAAACCCGTTAACCAGTCAACGATTCGACAGTTCAATCGGTGAATTAAGAAAAAATTGTTGCACTTTCATTTTTGTTAATCATAATCTCACAATTATTTTTATCATATAATTTTTAATTATTAAACTAGAATATATGATAAAACAAATAGTGGGAGTACAATTAACAAAAAAAAAAAAAGGAGTGCAAATAACATTTCTCTTAAAAAAATTCAAATAGGTTGATCATCCATTCAGACTCGGACAGCAACCCTTGAGTCAGGAGTTATAACTCGGTGACTCAAGTTGTCAACTCGTTCGTTCAGTTCCCTCTAAAACCCTTCCAAACCCCAGGAAAAGGCCAAAATAACACAATCCGATTATCTTCTGAGCCTCAGTCTCACCAAATTTTATGTTGTTTCCATCACATAGGAAAACAGAAAAGAAAGAATGTCCCTCTTATCCTTCAGTCTGAAGCCTCCTCCTTTCTCTGTAAGAATGTCCATCTCTTTTCCTTGTTCTTTTTTTTTCTTTCTTTTTGAGATTTGCAATTTTGTAATTAATCCCTTTTTTGCTTAATTTTTTTGTTCTAATTTATGGTTTTGTAGGGAATAACTGAAAAGCCAAATGCACTTGGGTTTTGGAGAAGAAACAAAGTTGATAATCTCATCATGAACATGAATTGGAGGAAAAAGATCAATAGAAAAATGATGACAATCAGAGCAGGGCTAAGAAAATCCACCAAGGCAGGGAGTGCAGAGAGGCCTTACTGAAAGGAATCAATAAAGTTGCTGACGCTGTTTCTGTTACTATAGGACCCAGAGGTACAATGGGTTTCTTTCACTTTGTTCTTTTTTCTGTTCATCTATTTATATCTCCAATAATTCGGTTCAATTTTTTCAGTTTATTTGCTCTTATTTGTATTATGTTAGATTGAGTCCTATATTGGGTTTGGTCTTCTGCAGTGCATATTGATCTTGGAGGAGTCATCATAGATCATGGTGAATTAAATACCTTTAGCAAATGAAATTAGTTGTTTATGCTGTATAGAATTTATAATATCGCTCTATTCTGGCCCGTTGGGATGAAAAAGGAACAATCTTTGGAAGATGAAGATATATAGTTGGAATGTACTATGTAACTTTCATATTCATCATTCCTTTCTGTTTCCTTTGGGATCAAAGGCATCATCTTTGGAAAATGGAACTTTGTTGTTTAAGTATTCGTTATTACTTACATATTTATAGGTTCTATTGTACTTTCATGATTATGCTTTGATCTATCTCCAATTGTCAACTAATTTTGTGATGCTCTTCAGGGCGCAATGTTGTTCTTTCGGAATCTGACACGCTTAAAGTAATAAATGATGGTGCAACAATAGCCCGTGCAATTGAACTTTCTGATGCAATTGAGAATGCTGGAGCGATGCTGATCCAAGAGGTCTCTCATGCTTTCGGACAGTGTATCTTTTAGCAAAAATTGAAATCTTTGATTTGTTCATCATTTAGCCAACTTTCCTGGATTTGTTGATTATTAACTTTTTATATAACTTCACTGTAGGTTGCAACTAAGATGAATGATTCAGCTGGGGATGGTACAACAACTGCAATTATTTTGGCTCGAGAAATGATCAAGCTAGGGTTGTTAGCTGCTTCTTTTGGGGCAAACCCTGAATCTTTAAAGAATGGGATGCAGAAGACAGTAAAAGAATTAGTTAAGATCCTTAAGAAGAAAAGCTATCCTGTAAAAGGAAGGAAAGATACACAAGGTACCATTTCTTTTTCACTTCTAGGGATTCATTATTCACTGAAAGTTGTTTAGTTTTTATTACTGTTCTTCTGGTTGCTGCAGCTGTTGCATCTATATCTGCTGGAAATGATAAATATATTGGCGATATTATTGCTGAAGCTATTGATAAGATTGGTCCTGATGGAGTAATATCCATTGAATCTTCCCCAACATTCGAAACCTCTATTACAGTCGAAGAAGGAATGAAGGTAACTATACTGTCTAAGTAGTAAGTTGTTGCTTGCTTGTGATTATGTTGTAGTTTGACTAGGCCAGGTAGCAAATTGTTATTTGCCATCTGTAGTTAAAGATTGATTGATTTCTCTTCAAATTTGGCAAATATAGACACATTACAGGAAACTTCCTCTGGCTAATCCATTTGCTTTAGTTGATACGCTAGCAAATAAACTTAGAGAATGGAAGTACCAAAACGGCTGTTTAGCTTTTGCAAAGGACATATTTTGCCCACTTTGTTCTTTTGGAATTAATTTGGCCACTCAATAGCTAAGTCTAGTGTTGTAAACAATCCAGATACTCCTCTTAACTAGATGAAGACAACAACCGCAGGCAGCTAGGTTGATGCATTAAGCTGTAAAGGTCAATTGGTCAGGGTTTTGAAAGAACTGAGCTGTACGAATTAATCCCCAATTAGTGGACATAAGTAATTGTTTGAATGCAATCATGCACTTCACTCAACTGAACAGAAGCATTAGATGAAATAACCACATAAGATGCTTGGATGAATCAATTGACCAAATTGGTGCAGAAAATAACTTGGTGGCCAAAACAAGACTTTTTGAAAAAGTTGATCTCTGTGTAGTGTTGTTCCCTTTTTGAAGTCGGTTTAATACAACTGATACTCATATCAAGCTCACATTTTTGCGTGAAGACGTACAGCAGTTGATTACATTTGGAATTCATTTACTTCATCGTAATGTTCAGAATTGATATCAGAAAGGTTTATGTGTTCAGAATCTTCAAGTTTAGGATCACGTCCTCCTTAAAGTCAAATAACATGTCTATGTTTTTATTCTGGTGTCTTAAGAAGTATTTCCACTTGCATTAATTGATTGGTTATGTCTTTAGGAAGTTGATGTGGACCTACAAATATCTTTTTATAATGGTAGATACTTGAAAATAGTACCTTCTGGTTCGATGTGCTTCTGATTTATTGGGTATCATCCCTACTTCATCTTTTGAAATCCATACATTCAACTAATTTTAACTTGGGCATGCTTGACCCATGTCCTGAAAGTTTATTGATGTTGCAAGTCCATCCAATCTGTTCTTTTGATTCATGCAAAATTATAAACTTTTATACCCTTTGAAATATCTTACCACTTATATATGCAACTTGTGTAGCAATTAGAAATCTTGTGTATAATTTATATGAACATTGACAAAGATTAGAACAAAATAATGATCAAAAGTGAGGTGAAACATAATGCATTGTACAGAGTATGAGTTTTGTACCATGTGCAACAAACACTGCTACACTAATAATTTTATATTTTTCTATTTTCTTGTAAAAATGTTTGTCTCCTTTCTTAGTTTTTCACCCCTTCTATTTCCTGTCTTTGCACTCCTTCCCTCCTCTATTTTCAATCATCCTTGGAAGATTAAGTACAGACTTCATGATCCAGACAGCAATAGTTGGAATGATTCCTGCAGACTGGTAGTCGGTTGCTTCAAGCAGCTTTGGTTTCCTCTTTGATCTCTACCACGTGATCTAAATGGCTAGGATTTGTGGCTTTGCACAATTGAGACAAGGGGAACAGTTGGATTGTAGAAATGTTGCCTTGGGAAGAGGATACGGGGCTCAATTACTTTTTTCTGTTCATAATTTCATTTTTCATAGACAATTTTCATTTCAATGGCAATAGTTTGGGACTGCTTGAGAGCATGTTTCTGCCCACTCTAACTTGTGCACTGTACGATGGCTTTTGGGGCAGTTAGTTAGTTGAGGATACATTTGCCATCTTTGAACTTTTCAGGACAGTTCTTTAGTTTTCTTTTAGTGCTGAGTCCGTCAAATTGTTTAATTGGAAATATCCAAAACAATAATGAATGTGGTGTTATAATCGACTATCGAACTCACCCTTCAACTTAAAATGGAGGAAAGGAGTAAGATAGCCTTAGGTGCTTGATGTAGTTCAGATTGCCATCATATTATGTTTTTCATCAGGTCTGGTCCCAAAGTGCAACAGTAGTTTCTATTGAACCCCCCCCCCCCCGGGCGGGGTTCACTTTTTGAGTTTGGACCATTCTATTCTTGGGGACCCATTTAATTTCATGTTGTTTTGGTTTGTATATCTGTTCATGAACACATGCATTCACTTTTTTTTCTCTGCTTTTATTAGGTTTTTATAATTTTCTTGATTTCTATTCAGGCATTCTTTTCCTACAGATTGACAAGGGGTACATGTCTCCTCATTTCATTACAAATGTGGATAAATCTCTAGTCGAGTTTGAAAATGCTAAAGTTATGGTTACCGATCAAAGGATATCAAGTGCACGGGAGATTGTGTCTATGCTGGAAAAAGTAACCCAGTTGAGTGTCCCACTGTTGATAATTGCGGAAGATATTTCAAAGGTGGTGCTGGAAATGTTAGTTGTGAATAAAAGTCAAGGCATACTGAATGTTGCTGTTGTTAAGTGCCCAGGATTTGGAGAAGGGAAGAAAGCTCTATTGCAAGATATCTCTCTTATGACAGGTGAGGTTGGATGATGTTTCTAAATCAAAAGTATTATATTTTCCTAGAAAATGACAAAGATGTACAAGATGTTTTAGTCTCAAGTTCCAAAAGTTTTCCATATTCCATGTCTATGTGACAAACACATTAAAATATTTGTCAAACTCTGTCATGTTGATAAAATATTTCCAATGCTTTCATTTTATCTATTTTAGCTTGCAAGACCCCAAGTTTGTGTTTCAAGAGAATTTGAGTGCCAATTGCCATTAAATTGAATGTCTGAGTAGCACTTAATACACTACTGAAGGACAATTCCAAAGTTGCTAACAGCCAGAGCAGCCTAGTATTTAGGCTAACGAAATTCCATATAGCACTCTTCTTTCATGAGATTGTGCAAGTATGCACCCAGTTGATACTTGTCAATTCCAATAATAACTAAGAATAAAATAGACCTTTTGCTAAGTTGCAGCATATTTTGTCAAGATACATAACAAGCAGAGTGAACGATTTTCATACCATGATATGTACATTTGAGAATTATTTGTGGAGTCATGATATTCTTTATCATGAAGGTTTCATACATTATGTTTGTAAGGTTTGTTGGTGCTTGATTTTTCTGCCTTCTGGATTGGCTCTATACCATGATAACCAGGTGCTGATTTTCTTTCTGGAGATTTGGGTCTCACTCTTGAAGGTGCAACCTCTGATCAGCTTGGGATTGCACGAAAAGTAATCATAACAAGTAATTCGACCACCATTGTTGCTGATCCATCTACTAAAGCTGAAATACAAGCAAGAATTATGGAGATAAAGAAGAATCTTGCTGAGACAGATAGTAAATACCTGTCCCAAAAGCTTTCTGAAAGAATTGCGAAACTCTGTGGAGGTGTGGCTGTAATCAAGGTAGCTGAAGCATAATTTTAAGCCTCTTTCACCTTCTGTCCAGCTGTAATTGTCAAACTTACTCTTTTAACCTGTCAATTGATCTCTTCTTTCGTTTGACTGTATACTTAAGTATTTCAAACACCTAAGAAACAGCGCCCTACATGTTTGAGTTCTCCAAAACTACGTTGAGAATATGGGGTTATATTAAATACTCGAAACACCTGAAAATACGGCCCAGCTGTGTTGTTCGCTTTTCTCCTAATATCACATCGAATATAACAGCATCCACATCTTTCCCTTGTTTTTTGCTCTCTCTGACTTTCTCTTCTATCATCTCTTTGACAAAACTAGTGTTACATTTTCAGCTCTTCCTAGTTAACCATCCCAAGCAGAGTATGACATTCAATATTATAGGGAGTGTGATAGGTTTCATATAATTGTCATTTTACAGAAGGCTTATGATGCATCAAGTTGGCCTTTGCATTATGCTCTTGCTTAATGATTAACAACTTTTTGTTGTTTATTGCATTGAGATTATTATCAGAAATTATTATAACTAAATTTGGTTTAAAAGAAGAGATGTCATCTTGAATAGTTGATTGTTTCAATAAATAGTTGGGACTCTCTCTGCAGCATTTTTCCTTGAGACTTGAAAGTGTATCTAAATACTTGTGTATCAATGTGAGTTTGCCACATTCATGAAGATACCGCTAACATTACCACCTCATGATATATTTTCTTGAGAAGGTAATATGTTTGTTAAGAGACAATGAGGGAGTGCAACATATAAATGCTTGGGTAGATCGTTTAGTTATCTTCTCATACAATAACTAGCTCTAACAAAAGACATTGAGGTTAGATCTGTGGCTATTTTGCTGTGTTTGATATGTTTGAATTAGTGATGCTTGCAGCAGACATTAGTGATTGCTATTTCTATGTGTTTGTATTTTATTATTGGATTATTATCTTTGTTCAGCACAATTAGGATAGGATATTGCTGAGGTTTTGTGGTCCGAAGTTTTCTTTTCAGATTCAACCAAAAGAAATTTTTTTCTTTCCTGTTTTTGTTTTCTCAAGCTATTGATTGGCATCAGGTTGGAGCTCACACTGAGGTGGAACTTGAAGATCGTAAGCTAAGAATTGAGGATGCAAAGAACGCTACATTTGCTGCTATGGATGAAGGCATTGTGCCTGGTGGAGGAGCTGCATTCATACACCTCTCCAAAGAAGTACCAATAATTAAGGAACAGTTTCGAGAACCGATGAACAGCTTGGTGCTGAGATTATACAAATGGTATGACGTAATTTCTTCCTTTTTTGGTGCGTGATGCTTATGTAAGTGGCAATGGTGTCAGTTCTTGAGTGCTGAAGTTGTGTTTTCTTGGACTTTGATAGAGCTTCATGGTCTTGGGTCAGATGCAGTTCAGATAACATTATGATATTATGATATTTAAAAAAGCATAAAACTGTATTCTTTTGCCATGTTAGCTTTCTGTTCCTTGGATGAGTATGTTGTGAATGAGAAAGGCCAATTTCAAATGCAATCTATGTAAACAACAAATCGAAAAATGCTAAAACCATTGCTTTCTTACCTTTATTTATGATGGGTATCATGTAAGAGACCATTCCAAGATTGCATATATTTGTTATGTCTGAAAGTTCATTTCACCAATCAGCAGAGACTGTTTAATTGTAATCTCTAAGATGGGTTTTTAAGTTGATTTGTTTGATTTTAAGGACCAAAAGAGTTTTTGAAGTAGAAACTTCATTTTGATCACCTTCACGATTATGTAATATGTTGCAATGAATTTCAGGCACTTCTTGCTCCTGCAAACTATATTGCAGCCAATGCAGGTGTTGATGGAACTGTAGTTGTGGAGAAAATTCGAGCCTGTGACTGGAAAATTGGATATAACGCATTGACGGGACAATATGAAGACCTTCTTAGGGCTGGAGTTGTTGATCCTTGTAAAATCTCAAGGTATGCACTTCAGAATGCTGTCTCTGTTGCTGGTTTAGTCCTAAGTACCCAAGCTATACTGGTTGAGAAAACAAAGAAACCGAAGCCGCTTGTTCCCGATATTCCTGGTATATCACCATGAATGATGACAAAGTGGGTATTTTTTTTTCAAATTATCTCTCAACATAGCAAGAGAAGATTTACACTACTTCAGTACAAATGTTTGTTGAATCATTCCTCTGGCTCAGGATTCAGCTAAGATTGGCTATCCTTGACAAACTACAGATTGAAGATTAGCTGCATCAAGATAATTTACTTGTGTTCTCTGCCTAGGTCTTTCATAATCTAACATAGGAGAAACAGTATTCTGAGAGCAGCTAAGGAATATCCACCGAACTCTCTGTGTACTGTTTTATTTGGGTGAACATTTATGCTGAAGATCCGGAGTTTTCATTCTTGCCTCTGAGTTGTAAAAATCTCCAGGATAACAAAAGGGAAACTGGCATTCGTGATCCTAAAAGTCATCTCTAATGTATAATGGTGAAGGCTCTGATTGTAGATAAACTCCAGCTTAGGAAAGAGTTAGTAGGTTCATTCATTTTCTTGATTCACAGTATATGTGCGATTGAAGCAACTTCATTTATGTAGGATCTTCGAAAGCAAGATTTGAAGAACTTTTACTTCTCTTGGTATGAGAAAGTAAATAGGTTCTTACACTGGTTGGTGCACAAAGCTATAAACAATTGAGTTCTGGTACGATGTTGCAGTTTTCTTTGAGTTTAATCATGGATTGTGGACTTTAAGGAATGGCACTCAAACTACAACAATATATTTATAGCCCTTTGCAAAGGTCAATGGATGGTTGTTTGTGATACCTTTGTGTAGAATTCTAAGTGATGACATTTAGTAATATATGCATTGTTAGAAACTTAGAGTATTCTTTACATCTGATCTGATAGATAACTCATAACACCTACTCTCTTTTAAGATATGGACGGATTTGTTATGGACGTGGCATGAATTTGCTTTATTAACTTCTTGTTGAAGTGTGGCCTTTCTGGTCACAGTTGAAAGCAGTTAATTAAAGTTTTCCCAAAGTGATCAATATTTGATAATGATACCCCATTTGGCCATTCCCCTTGATATTAAAAACTGCATACAGATATCAAATCTGCTATTCATAGATAAAATTCATTGGCCTGCAAAAATGTTAAATGCCCTCATGTTGATTCCAATTCTTATAAATTCTACTATATGAAATGGCTCCAAAGTATAAATTTTCTGGTTCTGTAGGCTTTCAATAGAACAAAACATAGAAGAAATGCAGAACTCCAACAAACTGCTTAACCAAAAAAAACCCTTTAATCATTGTTGTAAAACATAGATGAATCTATCAAAAAACACATTGTTTACATACAATATAGCACTCTTCTTGAAACTCTATCAAATCCCACTACTGTCTCTTCACAGTCTTGTTCATGTTTTTCTCTTGTACTGAATTTCTTATGATGCTTAGATTTGAGAAGATTTGCATGTCTATAAACTAAACTAAACTAAAACTAATAGTAGTAACATGCATAATTTTAGCTGTACAGCAGCACCCTATTGTAGCAGTCTCAGCAGCGCAGTACAGAGATAATGATGTTAGCTTACTGTCAAAGTTAAGTATGTCCTCCATATCATATCACAGCCTTCTAAAATACGCTCACAGTGCTGCGCACTTATATATCTTTTCTTCCATAGAAAAATGTTTCACATTGGATTAATATCACAATACCTTATTATGACAACTTTTAATGCTTTTTTTTGGTTTGTTTTTCTTGGGTTTCTTATGTACATTATTAAAGATTATTCTACTTGTATTACCTGCCCATTTATTAATAAATTTAGACAGCCATGATTAGTGAGGATTAGGAGTAGACCCCTACCAACTCAAAAAAATTAGATGCAATTAGATATCTGTTATTGGTTAATTGGCTGAGTATGGTTGTGGGGCTTTGATAGTAGGAAAAATAGAAATTTCCCGTTCGGATTGTTATTTTTTGAAGTTTTTTTTTTTGTAGAAAAATTTACTGTAACAACTCGATGTATGTGAGGTAAAAAGGTAATTAGAAAACGACTCACGAAAAATGTAAAAATTTTTTGAGAAAAAATGACAATCCGAACAAGGCAGGACCCTCTAAAACAAGACTTTGCTTTTCATTTTTTTTTGTGGAATTATATCTTGTTTAAGCAATGATTAACCAATTTGCAAGATCTACCTTTTACTTCATTAAGGTAACTTCTTCTCATGTAATATTATGAATGACTCGCCACTGGACATTTGGTCCGGTGGTCATCACCATATTTGGTGATGCTGAAGGTCAGGGTTCAACCCCTGCCTCTCACAAATTTGTCACAATATGTGGCTGGTCTTAGTTAACCATCTCCCTTTACCCCTTTCCCTAGATTAGGCTAGATTAGATTATAGGACATCTATCGGTGCAGGAAAAAAATATATATATATTATGAATGACTCTCCCTTTTTTCCCCCCACTTGAATGTGGTATTTTGACTTCAAGGACAATATGTGTGACTCCTTAACTAATAATGAAAAACTCTCCAAACTTGTTATCATGACTACCCAAAGAGGACATATTAGATATGTGCATGTACACATGCAAATGAATTTTCAGTTGAGATGAGTAAACACAAAAGCTGCAAGAATCTGTTGGGAGCTCAATGTTTTGGATGTAATATTGTAAGTGTCTAAAAAAGATCCTTCATTAGTCAACTGCCTCAATTGAGAAAATTAGGAGTATGACAATAATATAATTACCATCATTTGGTAAATTTGATTAGATAATTATCTCAAACATGCAATAAGAATCACCTTTAGGAAGTCATTAACAAGATAATGACTTGTATTTGGATTTCAGTGAGGTCAACTTTACAAGTATATGATGCGATTTCCACTACAAATCGGAAAAAAATATATTAATCGATTAATTAATACCCTTTTAAATTAATAGATTTGTATGATTTCAAGATTATTAATTTATCGAGGTTTTACTGCATATATTTTTCGAGCACCGATCGAGTTTTTTTTTTTTTTTTTATAGGATTTTTTGAATAAAATCTGTTGACCAACAAAATCATCATTGAAAATTTGTTTTGTATCGAATGGTCAGGGGTACTATTGAATCGCACAAATGTTTGGACTATTTATCTCAATGAAGGCAAATGATTATTTTGTGTTGATTATTTAAGCCGCATTAGCTATGAAGTACGGCTGCCTCAAGAAGCCTATCAAGCTTGTTTTACATGTGAACAAGAACAATTTTGAGGGTAATAAGAAGAAGGGAGATTTTTATTTTTATTGTCAAATTTCTCGAATTTTATGTGAATTTCAAAAAATACTTTTCAAAATTCATGTGACAAAAGTAAAAATATTTTCAAATCGAGTGAAAGGGTACGGAGTTTAAAAAGAAACTACAACTAATTTGATTAAAAAAAAAATCCCGAAAAGTTACACCCATTATCATCGTGTCATTTGTAATAACAATTTAAATTTTAAACTGCGAGTTTTCACCCGTCACAAAAAAGAGCAAAAGAAAAAGGAAAAGATGGAAAGACGTTCGCAAAATAAAATATGAATATTAGCTTTGTATTATTTACTTTTTTATTTCAATTTATACATTGTCTATTCACTATTGCTTTCAAAAATCACAAACAAAAATAACGTCGAATTCTTAGACTAAAAAAAAAACTATAAAACCAATAAAATCTGAATGAATATCATGCATTTACACGTGTTCGTCTAAAAAGAATTTTTTACACTAATGTAGAAAAAAACTAATTTATAACCTTAGAAAAAAAATTTTCATTTTGAATCAAATGGAATATTATAGTACGTGATATATGTTTAATATATCTTAAATTTAAAATGACAGAGCACGACTTTAGTGGACCTTTAGTAGTGGAGTAGTCCTATTGTCGTGCTCGCGAGTTTTCCGTTCTCTGCTCTCAGACAAACAACCCGCAAAAAGGGCGTAAAAAGCTAAAAAAAAAAAAACCCAAAAAAACAAACAAAAAGAAATGAAAAGTCCTCCGTGGCCCCTTCTCTCTCTTCTTTACTTCATCTCCCCAAGTAGAAGAAGAACTTGAACAGCAGTTGTTGAAATGCTACTGAAAATTCCGAATTGGAGCTGAATTTCACTTCTCAGATCTGACACTTCCAGCTCTGATCATTAACTCCAATGCCTTCTGGGTAGAAGAAAACTTATATATCTAGTTCTCATTTATCAGCGGTAACTTCTGCTACCACTCCCCCTTTTCTGCTTCTACTTCAATTCTTTAATTGTAACTGTTGTAGGATATGTTGTTTTCTAGTTTGCTAATTGACTGGATTTTATGGTTCAGTTCAACTTGTGATACTGAAATTACGTTGAAAAATTTGAATGCAGTGACATTTTGTCTGTAGGAAGAACTTGTGGGGAAGAAAATTGTTGCCGATAAAAATTTTCCCTTTTTCCAATCGTCATTCCTTTAGGATTAAAGTTCAAACTGGGATGGATTAGAATTAGAAAGGATTTTTTGGGACTTGTGAATTGAGTATGGCTACATGTGATTGAATTTTTTTTTTTTTTTGGGGGTGGGGAGGAAGGAAGAATTTAATAGGTAAGTTGATGGTAAGGACCATAAAATTTGATGGACTATGCAAAATATTCAAGATGCTGGAGATTTTATATGGCATTGAAAATCCCATGTTTTATTTGCACAGAAAAGGGGGTAAATAATTGGGTCTAAAACTTTGCATATGAGCGCAAAAAATGGCAAAGTCTAGGCAACACTATTCAGAAGAAGACGAACTGTCATCCTCGCCCACTTCTTTGAGGGCAAGGGAATCGGAAGGTCCATCGAGGTGGACAGAGTACTTGGGTCAAGATGTGGCCTTTAAAGCTTCTAGAGGGAACTCAAATGGGGTGCCTGAAGGATCGGTTCAGGGGTCGATTGGATTGAGTGCAAAGGGATTGAACTTGCGGTGGGTTTACCAGCTCACTCAAGTTGCTGAAGGTTTGATGGCCAAGATGTATAGGTTGAATCAGATTTTGGATTACCCTGATGTTGTTAGTCATGCATATTCAGAAGCATTTTGGAAGTCAGGCGTGTTCCCTAACCATCCGAAGATTTGTGTGTTGGTCGCCAAGAAGTTTCCTGAGCACCACAGCCGACTACAGCTTGAGCGAGTACGAGTTTGACATTTTATTTTACATACTGTAAAGGACTTGGTGTCTTATTATTGGTGATTGAGTGATGTTTGAATATTTACATTATTGATGATGGGGACTTGGGTGTAGGTTGATAAGGCTGCTTTGGATGCTATGAATGATGGAGCTGAAGTTCATTTA